CTGTTCAAGGGCTCTTTCTGATCCAGGGATCAAACCCATGTCTCCTGCATTAGCAGGTGGATTCTTTACCATTGATCCACCTGGGAAACCCATATCTAGTATGGCAAACAACTAAACAAAAATTTGCAATACAGTATAATAATAGTAAAGACCTTAGCAATTACCATTAGAGCATCATATTTTACAACTGATTACATACTCATTTTATTATTTTATGATTTGTACCCATGGATTAATCATGTTTCTCCAATTCTGAAAGAACCATGAAGATAGTGAATATATATCCTGTAGTTCTCTTATTTCTGTCTTTGAATTCACACATTAAGCGGGGGATCACTGCGCACACAGGAGTAAGCAGCCTTTACACTGCAGAAGGGTAAAAGGCCCCAAAGCTCACAGAGAGGTAACTTTAAGGTCAGCTATTATTGCTTTTCGCCAATGGCCATTACAGAAGTTATAGAACAGTTTGTTGGTACAGAGTGATCTTTAAAGTCTCAGTGTATGGCTCAGAATAAGACTACCATGCTAGAGTTAATTTTAAAAAGAAACAGCAGATTATTGTGTCTCCATGTTAATTCAATTTTAAGGCTAAAATAAAGAAACTTTAAAGTGGCTAAAGTAACTTCATTCCTGATTTATGAAGCATCTCATCTTTTAAAAGGAGAGAGGCAGACCAAGGAGGAGACACAATTCTACATAAAAGACACTGTAAAAGCTAACTGTTCAGATCATGAATAGATACCAGATTAAAGGACCTCCAGGAAACCCCTAGCATATACTCCAATATTTGGATCAAAATAAAAGATAATCAAATTACATCCCCCAGATGAACATAACAAGAGGCAGAAAATACCAAGTACTAATGAGAATGTGGGACAGCTGGCATTCCCACGTATTGTTGGCAGATGAGACATTTGGTACAACCACTTTGGAAAACTAGCCTTGTCTCCTAAAGATGGACATAGGCAGGCCTGTAACTTAGTGATTCTATTATTTTATCTACACCCAAGAGAAATGCACTGTGGTATAATCACACAGTGAAATAACTGTAGAGCAATGAGAATATACAATCTACAACTACATGCAGCCACATGAATAAATCTCACAATGTTGAATGAAAGAAGCCAGACATTGGAAAGTACTAATGCAATAATAATCATTATGAATTCATTTGGGAAGAACTGATACCTGTTGAACCTTTTCCATTTTATCTTTTTTCCACCAAATGCAGTCATATCAGCAACAGTTGGAGTAGATTAAAGTTATTGGAAAGACTATATGACAGCAGAGTTTCTATCTGAAGAGGTCCGTGAGTTAGGATAGGAGAGGAATGCTAGATATCCAGTGAATGAGGACAGGTTCTCAGCCAGATACTCTGTGGCAATGGGAAAAGCATAAACAAGAAGTGAAGCTTGAAAAGAGAGGCTAAAGGCCAGTAAGAAAATCCAAAACAATTGAAGGGTCATACAGTGACTTTAATGTTACCATTTAAACACTCAACCACCCAAAGATGGGAAAGAAAGAGGAGCCCATACTTAAAAGAAAGACCACTCAGTGGCAAAATTGGAACACACCCTGATCTGAGACCAACGTCACACATCTCCTGGTAAAGTTAGGCAAAGTATAGCTGGAGAAAGATTATAAGGTATAAGGTGATATGGAAGCCAGAAATGGGACTGCCTCTCCTAAACATGGCAGATACGTCAAGAAGCTCTCAGGTAGATGGACTGGATTATCATTAGGACTACCATAACCTTCTCACCATGAGAACCAACTCAGGAAAAATGTTTAAAGGGCTGTATTTATTAAAATTACACATATATATGCCTTTCAAATCTGAAATTACAGTTTTAATCTCCAGGCACATTAAGGGGTATTGAAGACTGTTACGTTTTTATTAAAATTTAAAACCTATATAAATAAAAGCAAAAATAAACAAATGGGATTTAATCAAATGTAAATGCTTTGCCCAGCAAAGGAAACCATCAACAAAATAAAGACAACGTATGGAATGGAAGAAAATATTTGCAAATGATGCAACCAACAAGGAGTCAATATCCAAAAAACAAAAACTCTAAATCAAAATATACATGTACCTCAATGTTCAGAGCAGCACTATTTATAATAACCAAGGCATGGAAACAAACCAAATGCCCATCAACAGATGACTGGGTTAGGAAGAAGTGAGATATATATAAATACACACACACACACACACACACACACACACACACATATATACATATACATAGAATAGAATACGACTCAGTCGTAAAAAAGAATGAAATGTAACTTGCAGCAACCTGGATGGACCTGAAGAATGTTATACTTAGTGAAGTAAGTCAGACCAAGAAATACAAGTTCTACANACCGCTGCTGGTGTGGGTTAGTCCCTAAATCACGTCTAACTTTTGTAACCCTGTGGGCGGTAGCCGGCCAGGCTCCTCAGTCCATGGGATTCTCCAGGCAAGAATTGTGGAGTGGGTTGCCATGCCCTCCTCCAGGGGATCTTCCCAGCCCAGGGATGGAACCCATGTCTCTTACATGTCCTGCATTGGCAAATGGATTCTTTACCACGAGTGCCACCTGCAAAGCTCACAAATACTATATGATATCCCAATTCTATATAATATCACTATATGAAATCTAAAAAATAATACAAGTGAACTGATATACAAAACAGAAAACAGACATAGAAAACAAACTTATGGTTACCAAAGCAGAAAGCAGACGGAGAGAGGAATAAATTAGGATTATGAGATTAACAGATACAAACTAAACCACATAAAATAGATGAGCAACAAAGAATTACTGTACAGCACAGGGAAATATACTCCTTATGATAACTTATAATGAAATATAATCTGGAAAAAAGCTGAATCACAATGCTATGTTCAGTATTGCAAATCAACTATACCTCATTTTAAAAAAAAACAAACCCTATATAGTTATTACATTCTCTAATTCTGGGCCTTTAAATACATTTTCAGTTCAGTGAAACTTCATTGTACTGTGGCAAAGCCAGTTGGCCAGAGTTCGGCCGTAGACCATTATGAAATATCACAGATGGGGTGGGGCGTGGGAGTGCAGAAAGCAGGAAGGAGGCCCAAGATGCTGTTTGGAGGGAAGTTCTGAACGGCACACAGGTGCGGCAGGAAGGGAGTGTGACTTAAAATACTGTGCATGCGATCGGCTTTCCTTTCCTATTCATAACCTATAAACTTCAGCATGTTAATTTCTAAATGTGTGTCAAGCATGGGCTAATTGTCAAGCGCTGCGCTAGGTAAGGCAGGTGAAGATCCCTTAGGAAAGACAGGCTCTGTGCCCCTCTCATTCCAGTGGAGGCATCAAGGTGAAGACAGGACAGAGTGACTCTAAGGGAATAACTTCTTGTGCAAAATTTTCCCCCAGTGGAGGAGAAACCGTGTTTAATCATTTTTCCTGGATTGTCATCTTTCTCAAGAGTTCTCGCCTCCTTCCTTATGTGCTTGGGACCCCAAGTCACATGCCCAGAGTAAACACGCTCCATCACTCAAAGTTACTGCATTGTGATTCCTGGGCCTCGGTCTTCAGGGCCCAGCAACCTAAGTACCAAATGGAATTACTCAGCTCTGAGAGGCCTTCTCAAAAACAGATCAAGAGAAAGCTGAATGACTGATGTTACTGCTCATCTTTAAGTTTGGGTTTCTGGTTTGTTTTTTTTTTTAATTTTTGTACCTGAGATTAGATACCCAGTCCTTTCATAAATCCAGGAAAAATGCATGTGGTCAACAAGGAAGGGCTGAACATCACTGGATCCAGAGACCCTAAATAGAAGGATTAGAGCTGAAGTTCTAACAAGAGAACCGCCAGGGAGTGGAGGGTTAAGAGAACAAGCTTGCTCGGAGACTCAGCTTGACCCTCTGAAGCTTGTCTCAACTCACCCCTCAGTGAAACCAAATTTAAGCCACTGCTTTGCTTTGGAGAAGGTTTTACGTAGAGAAGGATCAACCTTTTGTTTATTAAAACTTGAGGGTACTTCTTTAATCTCAGTAATTAAGATTCTTCTAATTTCAGTATGTGTTTTCCAAAAAAAAAGGCTTTCAACAGTATTGAGTATTTGAATTACCAAACATTTGTTGATTGCTTACTTGTCTGTAGCCTCTTGAAATTTGCTAGGTCTTGCTCCCAAAAGGCATAACGTGTGTTTTAATTTCTAATATTCAGTGGTCCTTTCTTTTTTTGCCATCTGCAAATTTAACTGTATAATATTCAGCAAAAAGCAAAAAAAAAAATTGAATCATGCGAGAAATGTTGCCCACCTTCTCACCCACTGATCCTTTCTCAGGCACAAGACTCACTGGAGGTCCAAAGTTGCTGGTTCCTCGAGTCATTCATTTCATGCACTTTAATGACTCTCATGGAGCGAAGGTCTCACCCACTGGAGAGAGATTCCAGTATTTAAAGATTTTCTTTTAAATATCATGGTGCCTAAATCTGAGATAACCCTTTACTTGGTGCTTAACAGTGATCTTTCCTGCCACACTAAATGCTTAGATTTATTAAAAGATGGTCCCACAGTGTGTTAGGGGTAAGTTAATGAATCTTCACAGGGTAATTTTGACAATTAGCAATTTTTTTACTTTACACATCAATTTTAAAACCTAAATCCCTCATGGTTTGTGACTTTGGTGTGGTTCTTCAATTATGTCAATAGCATTTTTAAGCTGATAGAAACACTTAAAGTAATACTATTTTTTCTGCGGACAAGAGAGATAATTTTATTTACAATGTTTTAAAGGAAAGCACATTCTAGTCCATTTTAATTATGTCATTAAAATGAAGACTAAATAGAAGTAGGGGCTAAGAGACACTATCAAGAGAAAAGCAATTCTCTTAGGAAACTGGAGAATCGTACTCTTATTTTGAAATTTTAACACAGACCTGCAGGAGCTGTGCTGGTAATTGGTTTTTATAGTTTTGCTACAGCACTAAGTCATGTTTTATGGATTCTTTTATAGGAGAGCTGTGTTGCAATTTATTAAAAGGGAAGACAGACAGCATCAACCTACTAAAAGGTCAGAGAGAAAAAAGCAGATGGGTCTCTTCCCCTGAATCAGGTTAAAATGGTCCTGCCTGTCAAGAAAGCATCGCTTTGAAGAATTCATTATTCACCCCAAAAGAGGCATCTGTAATCAATGTTGCTCCTTTCTATTTCCCACACCACAACCACCACCTCTAATCAGATGAGGAAGAAATTGAGAAGTAATTGCAAGGTGATTCCAAACTGCATTGGAAATGTAACTTGGGATACAGGCTACCCAGACTGGAGTCCACTTCCTAATTGGTATGTTTGAAGCAAACCTACCTCATTCATGGCATCATGGGCAAAGGCTTCAGTAAGGACTTAACTGGGAGACCTTTTAATCTGTTCTGCCTCCAAGAAAAGAATCTCAAAGAGACCAAGCCCCCCTCAGAGACATAATAACGTCAGTCAGTCCCTAACCCATCTCTGCAGCTCTAGTTAATGGCTGTGGCTCAAGTTACAAAGTTGCTCAGCTATGTTTGTTGGACTCATTTGATTTCCAAGCTTCTCTCATTATTTTCTTTACAAACCCCTTTTGTATTTTTTCCCTTGTGGGTCTCATGCTTTGAAGAACTTAGCTTATTAAACAAACAGTTAATGAAAAATAAATGTTACAATTTTTATGAACCAAAATGGGAAATTGCCCATCAAAACTTTGATTTTGCGGACGTGTTCAGCATGACCACGTGAGTTATTACAGTCCTCTAAAGAGAAAAAAACTTTGCATTTTCAATTAGACTTTTTAGAAATATAGGCAGTTTTCTATTGGCATATACATCATTAAAATGCTGAAGCCTAATAATATATGAAGGTCTAAAGGTAGTTATCCACATTATTAGGGAGTTTCCATTCAGAGACGTTAAGAACGTTATAAAATCTCTACTTAGTTCTTGCCTTTCAGGCACAAGTTTCAAACATGAACTACTCATTTCAGGGTGCTGTTTAATTCTCTTCACTTGAGAACACACAGTTAACCACCTTGAGCCAACAGAATCACAAACCTGGGTAAAAGATCTACCACTTTCTGTAGGTGGAATAGCTGCCTTCTGAAACCTGTGCTTATCACTAGAATCATATCCTTCACTTTCCATTTTCCATTCATGTTTATAAAATAAGGAAATACAATACACTACTCAGACAATTGACCAATAAATGCTACTTTGCAGACAATGATGGCTTTGCTTGCTTGTTGGCAAGCAGCACTCCATAAAGAAAACTTGACATGGCTGTTTGGTAAGGTATAAATCTGCATTTGGTAGAGAAAAGGAGACTTGGGGATTTAAACATATATCAGTAAGGACTTAACTGGGAGACCTTTTAATCTGTTCTGCCTCCAAGAAAAGAATCTCAAAGAGACCAAGCCCCCCTCAGAGACATAATAACGTCAGTCAGTCCCTAACCCATCTCTGCAGCTCTAGTTAATGGCTGTGGCTCAAGTTACAAAGTTGCTCAGCTATGTTTGTTGGACTCATTTGATTTCCAAGCTTCTCTCATTATTTTCTTTACAAACCCCTTTTGTATTTTTTCCCTTGTGGGTCTCATGCTTTGAAGAACTTAGCTTATTAAACAAACAGTTAATGAAAAATAAATGTTACAATTTTTATGAACCAAAATGGGAAATTGCCCATCAAAACTTTGATTTTGCGGACGTGTTCAGCATGACCACGTGAGTTATTACAGTCCTCTAAAGAGAAAAAAACTTTGCATTTTCAATTAGACTTTTTAGAAATATAGGCAGTTTTCTATTGGCATATACATCATTAAAATGCTGAAGCCTAATAATATATGAAGGTCTAAAGGTAGTTATCCACATTATTAGGGAGTTTCCATTCAGAGACGTTAAGAACGTTATAAAATCTCTACTTAGTTCTTGCCTTTCAGGCACAAGTTTCAAACATGAACTACTCATTTCAGGGTGCTGTTTAATTCTCTTCACTTGAGAACACACAGTTAACCACCTTGAGCCAACAGAATCACAAACCTGGGTAAAAGATCTACCACTTTCTGTAGGTGGAATAGCTGCCTTCTGAAACCTGTGCTTATCACTAGAATCATATCCTTCACTTTCCATTTTCCATTCATGTTTATAAAATAAGGAAATACAATACACTACTCAGACAATTGACCAATAAATGCTACTTTGCAGACAATGATGGCTTTGCTTGCTTGTTGGCAAGCAGCACTCCATAAAGAAAACTTGACATGGCTGTTTGGTAAGGTATAAATCTGCATTTGGTAGAGAAAAGGAGACTTGGGGATTTAAACATATAGTATACAGAAATGTAAGTCATTTGAAAGTCAAATTTTTAAAAGTTGAGAACTAAAGTATCAGAAGTAAGACACAGATTTCCTACCTATATTTCATATCTTAGACTAACAACTCTATGTAAAAAATAAACAACTCTGAAGTAAATATTTCAGCTTATATACTAGCTGCATAATACCAATTATTACCACTTACAGAGTTTTGATTATGTGCCAGTATGTGGGTATACAAACACCCAATTTGTATACCCATGTGTGTGCAAATTGGGTATTTGTTTTCATATGTTTTTTCTGATTACCTGACTTAATCTTATTAATAGCACTGAAAAATGGGATTTTTTATGCATTTTACTATAGAAGCCGAAGGTCAACTATGAACCATTCTGACCAAGATCATATGCACCTACAAAATGGAAGATCTGGAATTAATGTTAAGTTCATTTGACTTTAAAAAACATGTTCTTTCTTCCACAGTTAAATGTCCTCTTAAGATTGCTTATTGAGACTAAATAGAACTGTTAAATCCTCCTGCCTTTGAACATAACCTCAATATGTTTTTCTCTAAAGCTGTGTTCTAGAAAACTTCTTAGACAGTGGATAGCAAGGTCCTGTTTGTTGTGTATTCGGTTTTAGGTACTGTGGAGAATTGGACAGAACTGTGACCACTTAAATTGGGCTTCTCTAAATGCCTGTTTCTCACAAGTTCTCCAAGATTTGCTTGACGGCCCCTTCAACGATGTACAGCAACAGACTCCGTTTCCATTTAGTGTACACTCTCTGTGCCAGCTACTTAACTCTGTTCCTTGTGTAAGTTACCGTTGTTGTTTTAGTCAGTAAGTTGTGTCTGACTCTTTTGCAACCCCATGGACTATTGCCTGCCAGATGCCTCTGTCCATGAGATTTCCCAGGCAAGAATACTAGAGTGGGTTGCCATTTCCTTCTCCAACCAAGCGATTGAACCCGCATTTCCTGCATTGGCAGGAGGATTCTTTACCACTCAGCCACCAGGGAAATTAGTTATATAAGTTATACCTGGAGAAATAAATGTTGAAAGAATGTAAATTTTAACATGTCATTCAATAATCCGAATAGTATTATGAGGCTTCGGTTACTATTTTCATGTGGGTGGAAGACAGAGGTTTGTTGAAGCCATACAGTGAAAAAAATCAGGAAGCTGGAATCCAAGTGTCTATCAGGTCCCAAAGACCATGCTCTTCCCGTGAATAACCTCACCTGAAAGTTACAGCAGGTGGAGTGTCTTTGCTTTCAGGTTCTGGGAATTAGATTTGATTACATTTGGTTTGGAAATCTATGTGTACTTGTCAAGGTTTCCCAAGAGCAGAGCCTAAGGCAAGGATGAAATTTCATGTGCATGCATGTGCATGCTCAGTCATGTCCAACTCTGTGACCCCTTGGATTGTAGCCCACCAGACTCCTCTGTCCATGGGATTCTCCAGGCAAGAATACTGGAATGGGTTGCTGTTTCCAGGGGATCTTCCTGACTTGCTACATGTGGTTTATTAGAAGGTGATTGAAGGAAACACGGGTAAGAAAGAAGAAGCGGAGCATAGAAGGGAAAGTGACTTCCCCGGTGGCTCAGACGGTAAAGAATCTGCCTGCGATGCAGGAGACCTGGGTTTGATTCCTGGGTTGGGAAGATCCTCTGGAGTAGGAAATGGCAACCCACTCCAGTATTGTTGCCTGGAGAATCCCATGGACAGAGAAGCCTTGTGGGCTGCAGTCCATGAGATCACAAAGAGTCAGACACAACTGAGTGACTAACACACAGACACATAGAGGAGAAGGTTAAAAGGTGCATTATCAAACAGGTTAACATGTGGACAGTTGGAACTTAACCCCACTGGGAGACAAGGATGCTGTGAGGACTGTACTGCCATTGGAAATAGCATGGAATGGAGCTGAAAACTCCCCAGTCATGTCCAGTCTGCCCAGTTTCAATATCATTAGGTGGGTAAGTCACCTGTAGCTAAGGTTCTGACCTTTGAGATTTTCACAAGATAAGGTTGTTGAAAGAAATAAGAATAGATTTGATGAAAGAACAGAATTATCGTGTTCATGCACAGAAAGTCTCAACATTATAAAAATGCAAGTGATCTCCTAATCTGTAAATGAAAAAGAAATTCAATCAGAATATCGACAGGTTTATTACTAGAACTTGGCTTGATTCTAAACTTCGTATGGAAGAACAAAGGCAAGAAATATAGACACTGCAATTCTGGAAAGGGACAAAGATTGGGCAAATTTGTCATGAACAGATAGGTAGACATGTGAAGTTGCANAGAATATCGACAGGTTTATTACTAGAACTTGGCTTGATTCTAAACTTCGTATGGAAGAACAAAGGCAAGAAATATAGACACTGCAATTCTGGAAAGGGACAAAGATTGGGCAAATTTGTCATGAACAGATAGGTAGACATGTGAAGTTGCAGTCATTCAGATAGTATGTACTGTCACAGGGATAGACAAATAGATAAGGCACTAAGAGGTGATGTCAAAAATGTAAGTAAAGGAGGAGGTTTAAGACTTCAGTTGGAGAAGGTGGATTATTTATTTATTCAGTAAAGGATGCAGGTCTGTTGACTTTTCATGTGAAGATAAATTACATAGGGGTTTCACTCTTTTCCATATGAAAAACCAATAGTCCCACAGTACTTTCTGCGAGTTGATCACTGGGGCAGCTACTGGTGCTTTTGGGTTTTTCTGCTATACCATTGTTGGCATTTTTTTTTCTAAGGAAAATAAAAGCTTCTGTGAAACGGTTTTATTACATGTATTTATACAGTGGTTGAAACAAGAGTTTGGACATTAGACATCTCCTCGATAAGCTTCCCTCTCTCCAGAAACTCCATAGGAACAGAATGCCTGTTTTCTCATAAAAATGGAGCAGAAAGGCAACATAACCTCAGGATCCTCCATTCTCTTTTTCCTTTGAAAGTTTAAGTTTAAAAAAACTCAGTTTTACTTTGTTTAGATTCCAATGTTCTATAGGCCCTCTGCTATATTTTGGCTGTTTCAAAATGCAAGGCAAATAAGTCTCATCTTACCTGTCCATTGAAACAGTAGTTCAAACTTTTGGAGCCAAGTCCCAACTCATAAAAGAGAATATCATAGCTGATTATTAATGTCTGCCATGGGCACAATAGGGAAAGTGACAGTATGCTGGCCAAGAAGTTATCACTTTTTAATTTCATGTGTTTCTATTCAAAAATACAAGCATATTCTTATGTCCTTAATCTAAGGAGATTAACATTATAATTCAAATAAATCAATACCAATTTCTGCCCACAGAGTGTTTTTTGATAAA